TCGTAGCACTGAAGTTTGTTTTCTTTTTTCAAGAGTTATGACCGACTTACTAAATTTCCGGCCTATTCCGTGAGTGCTCATCGGAAACTCAATTTACAAGATTTCGATCTGAAATTTTACCTATGAATAGATCTGCTGATCTTTAAAACATCCTAAAAATTTCAGACAAAACAAATGCTTCTTTCTTGAGATATTGAATATTATCTTTGTGACAAGTGACTGATTTTTGAAAATTCAATATCTCAAGAAAGAAGTATTTATTCTGGCTGAAATTTTTAGGACGTTTTAAAGATCAGCAGATCTATCTATAGACAAAATTTCAGATCGAAATCTTGTAAATTGAGTTTCCGGTGAGTGCTCACGGAATAGGCTGGAAATTTAGTAAGTCGGTCATAACTCTTGATTAATAAGCCATGAGCACAAATATTGATGGCATATAGTGAATCATCATCGGCTATAATAACTTGGGCTTATTTTTCGTAATTTACCTTCATTATGACTGTAAGTTTTCATGTGTAAAAATTGTCTAGCAATTAAAACTCAACAGTTAATTATGTTCTTTAAATTAACTAACATTATAGGATAATATCGGTTTTTGATTATCAAGACTCAACTTTGGAATAAAACTAAAAAAAAATGATTGTCTTCATTCATTATTTTAGTTATCTAAGATTATGTTGGAGTCTAAAATCAATGCTATTGAAATTTTGATACTTTGAAAAAGGGTGATTATTCAGTAAAAAAAAACATTTAATCAAATCGTTTGAACTAAAAAGTTCTTTATTATATTATTTTGATAAAAAAAAATGAAGATGATTATTTTTGTCAATGAATATCATTAGAAAAGTAATAAAAATCTATCAATCTTCAACGAATTTTATAAGCAATCGAACTAACCCCAGGATAGTAATAGATCGAAGAAGGGTCTACGATCATACATAACTGGTCTAAAAAAAATTAAATTAAAATGTTGTTAACATCTCAATATTAAAAATTTACATCTACGTATTTCAACTATCACACGTCTCATAAATTCCATAACATTTTTCACTGTCGGAGCTTGGTAATCCGTAGACATATAGATACATATGTACATTGTCATGACATTTTTTAATCAATGAAGATGATACAGAGAGAAAAAAAAACTAAGACCTTCATCTCAAGATGAAAGTGTTTAGCAAAAAAAAATACTAATCACATATAAATATTCGTTTAATTTCTCAGTCAAAATTAACAATGCAAATTTTTGTGATGTTCTTCTTAGTGATTACGATATTGATGAGTAATCATGTTCATTCATTACCTGTAATCAATTTTACAGATACAAAATTATCAAATCAAATGATTAAAACATTGAACGAAACTCTTTTAGCTCAAGATAAACAACAACAACAACCTATTCGAGCTGATCCTCGCAGTAATATAGATAAATAATTTATAGAAACAAAAAATCTAAAATTTTTATTTAGGCTTGTATTATCCATATCCATATCAAACTGTTAATTGGTATAATTTTCCTTATTTATGGCTTGCTTTTGCTGGTGGTCTTTTTGACCCTACAGTACCATTCACTGATGTTGGTACTCAAAGAACTGGTTTAGGAACGGGGTGATGTCCGACTGGTGGATATGGCGTAAATAGTTGTGTTGGAAATAATCAATTATTAGTTAATTGTAAATTACTAAATTTTGATAAGAGTGAAATTTCTTTTTCTTTCAATTTATGTTGCATATTTTCATTATGTTCAGATAAATATTGTTGTGAAACTTCAGCAAATATTTGTTGAATTTGTTCACGTGTTACATTTGGATGTTGATGATTTATATTGTCAATCACTTCATTAAGATCAAGATTTGTTTCTTCATGAGTAATTGATAATGATTCACGTGAAAATTGATCTGGATCAATTCCATCATTGAGTTTTGGAGTTGGTGGAATTTGAAGAATAATTTCACGATAAATAGATAAAGGAAGAGCTTCTGTTAATGGATAAGGAAAAATTGGTTGTTCAAATAAATGAAAATCGATCTAAGAAAAAAACAAAAATAATAAAAACTTTAATATAAGAATTCGTTTTTTTTTTTTACTGTTCTATTTTCTTCAATTTTTTCAATTTGTTGAGGTTTTTCATCGAGTAATATTTCATATAAATGTCGATGTTGAAAAATTATTTGAATAATATAATCAATTACTTTTGGATATTGTTGAGTATTAAATAAAATCGATTTTTTATTATCATTTCCACTCATTAATATTGAACATGAATGAATAAATGCTTCATCTAATTTAATAGAATTTATTTTATTTGTTGTTCGTTCAATTTGACATAAAAGACCTTGAATTAATGTTAAAATACAAATAATTTGTTTATGTGTATAAGTTGACCAATGTAATAAATCATTTAATATTGAAGTATATAAATCAATAAGAGATTCATCACGAAATGTTTCACGTTTAAATATTTTTGAATTTGATTTAAAAATATGATCAAGAACAAATTGTTCAAGTTGTATTGGAAATGGAAAATTTCCTTGATTATCATCAAATAATTGTTTTATTTGTTCAATTGATATAAGTGAATGTGTAACGAAATCATTAATTGTTTCAAATCGAAATAAATCAATATCCGAAATATTAATAAACATAGTTTACTCGATGTTTTGTATATGTTATTTGTCTATCATCTATCAACAATTTTCTTTTCATCCTTTGCCTTCGTCGTCTACCAAGGCAACCGTTTGGAGGCCAACAACATTGTTCTTTATTTTAGTTCAAAATCCTTGCGGCATCTATGATCGATATTATTTTCCTTATTATCCTCAATGCGATAAAACAGATCGTAAATATGTACCGGGCAGTGGCGTACGCAGAAATTTTTCAAGGGGGGGGGGGGGGGGGCCCCCGGCCAAAAAAAATTTTTTTTCACGGGAAAAATTTTTTTTCCCCCCCCCCCCCCCGGGGTTTTTTTGTGGCGGGGGGGGGGGGGGGGGGGCGGCCCTCCCTGCGTACGCCACTGGTACCGGGAACAATATTAGATCCTAAAATTGATGTATGTAATTATCGACCTGTTATTGTCGAAATTGGGAATAATAAAGTTTCAATGCGAACAATTCGTTGGTTATAAAATGTAGAGTCATAGTTTTTTTGTATGAAAATAGTTTCTTATTAATTAATTTATTCTATTCAAATAAAAAAACAATGAATTGATTATTTATGAATTGAATAAAATATTTGATTATATCGTTTCTTTTGATTAAAATATATTTTTCTAATCATTGTTACGAATACTTACAATATCATAATCAAATACACAACAAGTTTCTATTTTATGTCGTTATTTTTTTTTTAAAAAAATATTAAAAAAATAAAATAGTAAACTAATGTTTAGATTATCATCATATATCTAATTCATCTATATATTTAATCAATCTCAAAAAAAAGCAAAAGGTTGATCTATACCACTTCTTTCTTTTACATTTGATTTGAGAGATGATGAAAAAAAAGAAAAATAATCACTTGTTAGTTTTCTTTTTTCAATTCAATTTACAAAGAAAAAAAACAATAGATGATATGTTACATTCATGAAGGAGAAGTTCCGAAGTTCGATTGACAAGAATTATTATGAGAATCTGTCATATATAAAATTCCTCGATTGTATTCAAAATTCATCTCATTTCAGAAATGTCATATGGATATCAAACTCCTTTACAAATGAGGTCAAGACCAACTTTATTACAACAAGAACCAATTCCAATGTTGATTACTTCTCGACAACCATTTCAACCAATACCAATAACACCACAATATAAAGATCATTCGCTTGGATATACTAATTCATTAAAAAACAATCGAATTGCACCACAACAATTAGATTATAATTCATATTCACAACCCAATAATTGTATGTTATTTAATATAGAATTTGTTAATCTTTTTTTGTTTTAAAGCTTTTCGAGCTCCATCATCAAAAGCACTTATTCAACCATCACAAATGTATTCACTAAAACAACCAGCAATAGATACAATCTATCCTTATAATTCAAATCAATCATATTATCCACAAAATAAGTATATGGGTAAAAATTAATTATATTCCTGTTTTTTCATTAATTTTTAAAATTAACTATTCTTCAGAAAATGTTTATCCTAATGATGATCTTCAACAAAATAATAAACCCGTTAGAATATATATAAACAACATTTATTCTAACTAAATATGAATATTAATTTGTTTTTAGACTTCATGTTGTTGGCAACCATTATGTTTTGGTTTAACACGTTTTACTGGTGGAATTCTATTTGGAACTGTAATCATACTTGCTATTGCATCAATTGGTGGTCTTATTACTTCAATTATTTTATATATTCAAGGTAAGTTCAAGAGATGGACAAAATCGCACCGCGCCTAGGCGCTACGCACATCTCTTTGCTCTACCAATAAGTTTCTCAAACTCCACCGAATACCGGGATGCTCTAAGCATGCGCTCATACTAGTGTAGCGTAGGCGTGAGCAACGGCGCGGTGCGATTTTGTCCATCTCTGATAAGTTCATCAATTTTTTTTCTTCTTCTTCAAACTTCTATATTCATTTAATTTAGATCCACAATCAGATTCACAATGGAAAATTTTAGGTATCGTTGTCTGTGCTGTAATGTTAATAACAACACTTATAACATTATGTATATTTATTTATTGTTATAAAACTGGTCGTATTGGTAATAATAGAAATAAAAATAATTTAACAACACCAGAATATAATCAAAAAAATGATTTTAGAAATGGAAATAATTATAATCGGTCATATGGAATGATGCAAAATATTTCACCTTTCTCACAGTATGAAGATATTATTTATGTTGAAGATAAACAAACAAATACTGAAACAACAATGTCTCCTTTACGACCAAGAGATTGGAAACAGGGAGTTTGGCCAGGAAAGAATGCATATGGAGGTTTATCTTATCGTTCATTTGAAAAACCAAATATGGTTAATCATTTTATACAAACATTACCAAATAACATCGATCAAACAATATCACAAGGAAAAAATAATGCAATCAATGTTATACCGAGAACGATTATTCGATTACCAGAAAATTATCATCAATATGATGAAGATCAATATCCAAGTCGTTTTATTGAACAAAAACGACAATATAGTGTTGTTGAAAAAATTATTGAAAGACCAAAAGGACTATCAACAGAAGAATATATAGAATTTACTGAATTAAAAAAAAATGATGGAGAACAAATTGAAAACGGACGAAAAATCAAACGATTTAATAATGTTTCTGTTAAACGTATTAAAGCAATTGAAAAACCAGATGATGTTCAAGATAATTTGAATACTGATCATTTTTATCAATAAAAAAATAATTCTTCTTATTTTATCCTAATCCGATAATTTAATGACTGTTAACTGTCACGACAGTTTTTTTTTTCGACTGTAAGAATCTGTAGCGAATTCATTTGTCAAGTTTGTTTCGATACATTCAGTGTTTTGAAGTAATGATAAAAATCGATCGAACGCGATTGTAAATGTTGATAAATCTAAATAAAATCGAATTTATTAGCGATTTTTTTGTTTCACATAGGATGTTCATATTGATTCATCGCACACTTATTTCATAGATAACACAAAATAGAAGTTCAATAAGAATTCATTTTCTTAGGTCTTACAAAATATTGATTGATTTAATAAAATATTCATCGGAAATAAGCCAAACAAAAAGAAAATTCTACTGCATGACATTAAATCTTGTTTTTTTCTTATTGTAGAAATCAAATATAAAGAATGTGGTCGAAGAAAATTTTACTTTTGCTTAGACCTTTTTTTGAAATAAACAAAAAAAAAATATTGATATTATCTTGAATCATGCGAGAGTTATTTTCATTTTTATGATTAAAAAATAAGGTTTTGAAGAAAAATAATAAAGAAGTTTAGAAATTGATTTTTTCAAATAATCAGATATTGATTATATTTATGAGGAATTTTTGAACACACGCAATAGATAACATAAACTAGCCCCACAATCCCTATTATGTCTATTTCATGTTGATAGAATTAGCAAAATAATATTCTCAAAAACGCCTAAAATCTCTTCAAAAACCGAATAGTGAGCTGGAAATTCTCTACGAAGGTCTGTTAAAATTTGGTCTTTTTTTAAAATATTCTGAAAGAGGAAATTTCGCTACATTTTTCTATGACAAAAAACTCAACTTCCATCGAATTACAAAAAAAAAAAAAAACATGGATTTTCTGAAAGAGTGGTCCCTTTAAGTAAAAATTGATATCACAATGAAATCTTATCATCGATTAAAATTAATACAAATTTATTTTTCTTTAGTTCATCAAATATTTTTAAAACATGTACGAAATTGATTTGTATATGACTGTTGTGAATACGCTCGATAAAACAGGAATTTGGTAGCAAATATAATTCTTCAAAGAAATCTGTATTAATAAAAGAAATAAAGAGGATCAAAGGAATAAAACAGTAAAGGTCATCGAAAAGCGACACCTTTCAATAATCATATAGACGAACCACGTGTTTTGGCATAAATTACAATACTCAATTAGACAATAACCACATTTTTTGTGTATACTATAATGCGGGGTTAATAACATATTATTATTGTTTTTTATCAAATTATTGAAGGTACGATGGGATGGCTGTGGTTATGAATAATGTTAAAATCCACTATGTGAATAGATTTAATAGCAATATTTATTGAATATATTCAAAGTTTCAGAGATAAGAATTTTTGTCATTTGTCGAAATATTGAACTTTTAAAAAAATTCGATTTTACAAATAAATCACTACTAATGAAATATTTCAACAAAGAAGCATTCAGCATATTTCGATGTATCAAATGTTTTTTTGTAAACCAAAAGAAAAAAAAAATCATCAAGTTTTCATAGTTAAATTATTTTGTTTATTGTGAATTTTTTTTTGTTTTTTGATATTAACAATAGTTCATCTCGAGATCTTTTTTGCTCGTACGAATATCTTATTTTCATTTTTATTTCATATTCTTATGAGTAATACAGACATTACTATACATTACACAATGAGAGATAAAAATAAAAGCAAAACAGATGGTGAATACTATTAAGATAAACGAATAAAAGAAAGAAGTAATATAAAACCACTTGTACTATTGTCTACTTTTTTTTTTACAAACGATTTAAAAGTTTAAGAATTAACTTTTCATTATTACTATCTTTTTTTTATGTTTTATGACTCAATGTACAAAACGCAAAAAAAAAATAAAGGAACTAAACATTTTTTTTTTAAGGTCATTCTCTTTTTTTTTTTTTTTGCATATTGGTATATGTCAACATTGAATACAGCAAAAAAGAAAAAAGCTACAGAGACAAAAATATATCAACAAAGAAAAAGACAAAATCATTCAAGCATAACCAATATGTATTAATAATGATTCTCGATCATTCTTGAATGATCAACATACATGTAGATTTTTTTTCAACGACGGTATATAAATACGTGGATAGTACATTATATTTCTAACCACACAATAACAAAAAAGAAAAATGTCATATCCAATTCAACAATATAATCCATATAACGACGCTCTTTTCGATAATAGTTATGATGTTAATCCATTGGGTTCAGTTTTTGGTCTTGCTGATCAAATGATGTCTACAATGTTACGTAGTGGTCCAAATATTGGTGGTATATCAACATTTATGAGTTCAGATTCAAATGATCCAAATGTTAAAGTATTTGGTTTAAGTTCAATGAATGTTACACAAATATCAAGTGGACCAGATGGTCGTCCACATATACTTCAAGCACAAGATGAACGTCGTATGGGACCAGGTGGAGTTTGGCAAACAAAAAAAGCATTACGTGATCCAGATCGTGGTATTGATAAAATGCAAGTTGGATATTTTATTGGTGATCGTGGTGAAATTGTTGAACGTCAATTAGATCCAACAAGTGGACAATATCGACATGATATTAAACGTCGTGGAATTGTTCCAAATGATCAAAATTTTTCAAATCAATGGAGAATACAAGCACAGCAAGCTATGCAACAACCACGTATTTTACCATCACAAATACAACAACAACAATTGCCTTCATCTTATCAACCATATCCACAACAAGCTTTACCATCATCTATTCCTTCCTATCAATATTATTAAACTTTTTTTTTTTTTATTATATATTTTTTGCTTGATTTAATATGAAATAATAAAGAGACAAAAAAAAAAAAAGAAAAATTTCTTTGGTTCATTCATTAATTTGTTAATATTATACAGAAAAATATTAAGCTGTTGTAGATGCAGCCCAAATAAGCCATAAAGCATGAATACAACCAGGTAACCATCCGAGAATAGTTAATAATATATTAATCCAAAAATGTGTTGTACATCCAACCTAAACAAATTTATTTATTTATTTATTAAAAACAAAAATATCAAATAATTATACTTTAATAAGAGCAGCAACTGGTGGTAAGAAAATAGCTAAAATTGATAATAGAAGATTGCCAAGAAAATCACCCATGATCAATTATATAAAATATTGAAAATATGAATTTATTATATCTAAAACAAAAAAATGTTCAAATGTTATCATTATATAATAAAATATTGCAATGATGTACTCTTTGACAGTCAATACAAAAAAAAAATGAAATTCTTTTTCATCATAATTTTAACTTGTTCGTTCTTTATATATATTCAATACATAACTAGTTGAAAAGAACATAAATTCTTTTGTGTAGACATAGAAATAAAGAAAAAAAATTCTATCAATTTATAAGTAACAAACTATACTATAATAGTCACGAGTAAAAGATAAGCCTTCACATGTATTCATTTACACCAAAAGATCGTCAATGCCGCATGTTCCATTCAAGGACACAAGAAATAAGAAAAAACATTGTTTAGTATGATTCACAGTATATATATGATCTTTGTTCTATTCAATGAGTAAGAGACATTACTAACTGTTACTCTCTTAAATTAAACTATAAATATCAGTATTTTTATGTTCCGACTAAATAATTATTATTAATTTTTTTTTTCGTTATATATACATTTCTTAGATGGGACACTCGATATATCAAAGAAAAAAAAATAAGTGAAACTATTATTATATAAAATGGCATTTATTTAGAAGATAAAACAAAAGAAGATTTCTATCATCTGTCGCAACTATAAAAACATATTGTTAGTAAATTTTCGTTTACTTTTTTACATTATAATATCAATATGAATGAGTTGCATTTTATACTATCTAACCTTTATAGAATAGTTACATTTTTAAAGCTGAAGAAAAACAAAATTGTGTCGCCTAATCTTAGTATAAAATGACCTCAATGAACCTTTTTTTTTGTTGTTATTAATAGAAAGAAGAAAAAAAGAACTATGAGAAATTTGTTACACGTACTCAAATATCTTGGCCAAATTCACTTAAATAAATTTCAATATTACCTTGTGTTCAAAGTTTTGTGTTGTCTATAAAAAGTCGATTTCAATCAACTTACTTCTTTTTTCGCTATTGTAAGAAATAACTTTTCATCAGTTTACTCATTATATACCAACAATCATAAGATAGAAAAAGTATAAATTTATAATTAAATCAACTATACTTTTTAGTACTAGTAGAAACTGATATTATTATCTTACTTAGTATTTGTTGACGAATATTCTTTCGATTAGAGGACTATATAAAATAAGACTAAATGTATGTGTTCGATTACAAGTACCGAGCATAGAGAAGAAGAAAAAAAAAAAAAAAAAAACAGACGAGAAGAACAATCATTGGTCCAAACATATTCTTTTATTAATGATTCTTCTTACAATTTGATTTGTTTTAGATTTTCTATTTGTTACATTATCAATCGAAATTCAATATGGGTGATTTTCTTGGCAACATGTATGTATATTTAATGATATGATTTTTTTTAATCTATATTTATAATAGTTTATTAACAATTTTGGCTATTTTTTTACCGCCAGTTGCTGCTTTAATTAAAGTTGGTTGTACAACACATTTTTTTTTAAATATGTAAGTTATATTTTTTTTTTTTGTAAATTAGAAATAATCGATTTTCTTTTTTTGTTTTTAGCCTTCTTACTATTCTGGCATATTTTCCTGGTCTTATACATGCTCTTTGGCTTATTTGGAGTAATAGAACAGCTTGATAAAAAATCAATGATTCATAGACTTATCTATTTCTGTCTTATGGGAGAATTCTTCTGTCTTTTTTTTTTGTGTGTGAATAATAAACTAGAACAACATGAGAGACCTTCAGTTTAATATAGAACAAAAAAAAAAAAATTGTTTTTTAGTTGTTCAAAATGAAAACGAACAAACATTCTTTATTCTAAGTCACATTGTTAGTCATGTGATATTTTACTATCAATAGATGGCGCTAATATTTGATGTTGTGATGTGAATTTTAAGGGAATCCAACGAGTTAAGGGAAATACTGTAAAATGAATAGAGGTCACATTGGAGTTTTAATGGCGGACCAATGAGCTTCAGTCTTAGTAAAAATTATGGAACATCCATACTTTACAGACTCCGAATCCTATTGGTCCGCTATGCGAGCTATACCGTGACTTCTATTCATTTTACACTGTTTCCCTTAACTCGTTAGATTCCCGTAAACGGATACATATATGAAATTTGAAATCTATCGATGTAGTTTACTATTAAATTCTAAAAATTAGAATACTACTAATAGAAAAAGAAAAATTTTGGTGCGACTTAGAAAAATGCTGATTTTTTTTCGCAAATTCCCATTACAAAAATTTTTTAATAAAAATTCATTATTTGAATTCAATATCATATCTCTGTAAGTTTCACCTGGGTCTCATGCTCTGAAATTGAAATCCAGCATACCGGAAAAATCTTGAATATGCCACTAGAGAAATATATGCAATTTTAAAATGATGATTGAATTCAATTGAGAGAATGAATATTTCGAGAAAACAAAAAAAATTTGTTTTTGTAATAAATTTAAATTTATTCTAATGAGATAATTGAATAATCATGTTTATTCAGAGAGAATTGTGACTTAATTATGAAAAATAAACTTGAATTGAATATTATGATTGTTTAAATTTCGATAATTAGAAAAATTATATTACAATTATAATTATAAATAAAAAAATTTTTTTATCTTAATCTATTTGACAAAAAAAAAAACAAATAGATGATTTTAATTTTCAATAAAAAAAAAAACTAACGTTGAATAATTCTTAAATTCAAATTTTTGTGAAATGAATGAAATTAATTTTTATATTTACAATTTTAATCTTAGAAATTTCATAAAAGACTTACATAGTTTAAATCAAATTATAATTATTCATTTGATAACTTGAAAAATACACATTTTTTACTAATATTTGATCATTTCGAGACGTTTTGATAAATATATATAATGATGTCTGTTTTTTTTTTGTTTCTGTTGAAAAAAAAATATTCTCTGTTCTATGTAGTAGTTGATTATAAGATATAATAAATATTATCATGCATCAATAATGAATGTAATTATATGAATGATAGTGCAAGTTATTTTATAAATTTTCATGCACTATTACTCATTGAACAATGAATTAGAATCCATTAGTTTTGTTTTTTTGTATGCAATAAAACATATAACAACAATATGTTCTTCTCATGAATGTTAATATATTGTAATTGTGTTCAATATTGAAAAACTCATGGATTATAGAATATTATAAGGCATAAAAATTGCTGATAACAACTGTCTTATTATGTAATTATATTCATTATAAAGTCTACTTGTTTTTTTCCAAACAGCTACATGAGAAAGTTCAAACTTCAAAGAAAATAGAAGAATCAAACTCAATGATCTTTTTTATATGAATACAATTCAATCTATTTCTTTTCAATAAAAATAACCAAAATGAATAATAATAAACGAATTATCTCAAAAATCGATCTCAGCTTTGAAATTTTGCAACACGATACCATAACGTTTTGCTGAGATATGAATTAAACAAAAGTCAAAAATAACGAATTTAGCAAACTAGATTTCTCTGTCAAAGTTCGTATAACATATTGATTTTTTTTGTTGTTGTTTGTTTGAAAGAGTCCTTTTTAAGTGAAAAAGGGAATGATAAAATTTAATAACTCAAAAAAAAATAACGCTGTTTCTATAAGAGATATTTTCATATACAAGCTTATTTCCAAAAAGGATTCTTTTAGTGTACTGCAAATTTGACATCTACACTTTCTAACAAAAAGAAATAGCTTATTTTTGTTTTGGAATAGAAAGTGAAGAAAATCTTAAGTCTTTATTTCAAAACTATAAAGAAAAAAAAAACCAGCTGTTTAAGATACAAATCAAAAAAAACAAAAAAAGAAATCATATTATTCTTGAAATTCCGGTATATTATCTCGAAGAGTCTTAATAATCGAATCAATTGATGGATGATCACCACTAAAAACAACATCTCGATATATATATATGCAATAAAAAAATTTAATTATTATACATACTAATCTTTTTGAGGATGTGCTAACCAAATTTTTCCATCTTTTGGTCCAAGAATATATGTAGCACCTAATTGAAATCCATCACCTTTAAAATTTCCTTGTACACCCATTTTTTTTGTTTCATCATTCCATAATTTTGTTGATCTTGTAAATAATGTTGTTATACCTTTAATCCAACCAAGATAAGGTAAACCTAATATTTGATAAGCTTTTTTTCCTTCATCAATATAAAGATCACCAGAAAAAAATTTTCCGGCTTGAAATTCTTCTAAACCAAATCTTTCAAGACCAATACCAATAAAACCAATATGATTTTTTTTTAATATTGGATATAATTCATTTGTTAATTTTAATGCATATGAACGACATAATTGACAACCAAAACGACGAAAAAATATTAAAACTATTGGTTGAAATGCATATAATGAACGAATTTGTACATTAGTATTATCTATTACACGTGTTACTAATATATTACCAATAATTGAATCTAATTCATTGATTGACATTTGAAGTCTAGAAAATTTTTTTTTGTTGTAAATCTATTATTATTTATTTTGTTTTTTTTTTCAAGAATATAAATTCTTCGATAGAAAGTTAATTCAATTAAGTTTTATATTTTTATTAAAGAATAATGTGTAAAGAATAATTTTGTTCTTTCATTCTATGTCATTTTACAAAATTTTCACTATTAAAAAAAACAAAAAAAGTTTTTTAATATATTCGAATTACTAAGAAGTTTATTAATTCTTTGCAACTTTTTTTGTTTTTTTCTGATCGAGAAATATCAATCTGATGAAATGCATAAAAATTGTGTTTTCATATAAAAAAAAAACAAAATGATTTTTTTTTTGTTGTTTTTCTCATAAGATATTAGTCAACATCTATTTTATAAATAAAAATATAGAGACTGTCAGTTGATAAGATTAGCAAATAAAGCGATACAATCAACGTTATTCTATAAACATTTATTGGTTTGTAATATATTTTAACAAAAATACTAACAGATATCATCAACATGAGTTTCTTCTTCGGTGGAGATAAACGAACTCCTTATGAAAAAGCTAAAGAACAGGTTTTTTTTAATTAAAAAATTTATTTAGTTTTATTATTAATATTTCTTTTTGTTTTTTAAGACACGATCTTTTAGTACACAAATTCGACAAGAAAAACGACAATTAGATCGACAAATTAATCGTAATATTTTTCAATACTAAAATAATTTTCTTGTTTTTTTTTTATAAAGAATCTGATCGAGAAATTCAACGTCTTTCAAATGATATACGTAAACATGCTTTAAATAATAATAAAGATGCACTTCGTGTATTAGCAAAAGGAATTGTTAAGTAAATTAAAATTAATTTTTATTTAATAAAAAAAGAAAACTAATCTTCATTTTTTTTTCTAAGATTAAAACATAATAAAAGTAATTTATATTCAGCCAAAGCTAATCTTGATACAATTGATAATTCTATTAAAAATCAATTATGTAATTTATTTATTTTTTTTTTAAATTTAATAATATCAAAAATTTTCTTTTTAGTAAATGTTAAATTAACTGGTATAATGCAAACAAGTGCTTCCGTAGCACATTCATTATCAGAATTAATGAAAATTGAACAATTTCAATCAATATCTGAACAATTTTCACAAGAATTAATTAAAGTAAAAACTTTTTCTATTTTGTAGAGTATATGAAACAAAAAACTAATTTTTGTTTAGATGGGTATTATAAGTGAAATGACGAAAGAAGCTATTGAATCAAATTTTGATAATAATGATCTTGAAGAAGAAACTGATGAAGAAGTCAATAAAGTATTAAATGAAATTCTTATGTGTAAGAATAAACAAAAAAGAAAATTTTTTTTTCTATTAAAATTTCTTCTTTTATTTTTTAGCTAAAGTTATTATGTATCCAGATGTTCCTGTTAATCCAACAATAATTGATACAGTTGATATTGATAATCAAGAAGATGAAATTACAAAACGTTTAGAAGCATTAAGAAATTAATTTTATTATTCATTTTTTTTTTTACTTTAATGATTATTAAGTTTGATAAAAGAAAAAAAATATATATATAGTAATTTTATATAATGATTATTAAAAGATTTCATTTTTTTACTTCATCAAAAATAGTTTTACAAACTAATTTATTTAAACAAAAACAACTCGATATAATATACATATATATGATTAAAATTATTTCTTTTAATAATTTCATATACAGACAGGTACGTACCCCAGAAATTTTCTGAGGGGGGTAGGGGAACCATGGGAAAATTAAAAAATTCACTGAGAAAAAAAAACGTCTACTTGTACCCCCCTACAGGCGTTTTCAGTCCTGAGGAGGGGTCCGATCCCCATGAGCTTCTTCCCTTTAGGTACATGCCTGTATACAGAAAAAAATAAAAGCACATATTAATAACGGAATGAATACAATCATCATACAGTTACACGTAGAGCTTCAATCGATTGTACAATCATTGGATCCTAGAAAAAACAAAAACATATGTTTGAAAATAATTTAAATAATATTATTTACTTGTAAACAAATTGATATAAAATCATCTATTGTAATATATCCTTGATTTTTTTGGTCAAATTTTTGAAAGACTTTAGTTGTATGTTCTTGAGTAATTATATAATTATTATGACGATTGGATGCATTACCAAGAAGAGAATGAACAGCACAAATAATCACATGAAAATCCTTTTTTTTTTTGTATGACATATAAAAAAATATTAAATTTAACAGTAAGATTATTCGATCTCTCATCGATTATTAGAGATCAAAAATATCCATCGCAGTTACGTTTGCGATGATATTCAAAGTGCAAAAAACACGAAGTTTTATGCAATTTGATTTTTTTTCTTCGGAAACTAAAGAAAGTTTGTGAATGTTCACGCTGTGAAAATCATTTGATTCGAAGAAAAAAAAAAAAGCGTTTTTTAATGCGTAAAAACGCCATTTTTGTTTTTTTCAACTCTTGTCTGACTGGGTGCTAATCGATCAGATTTGTTTAAGTCTTACAGTATAGCATACATAAATGTCGAGATTCTATTAAATGTATTGAAGTATTTCATAAAATTTTTTCTATATACAGTCAAAGACAAAAGTTTAAACGAAAATGTATTCTTGATTTTTTCTATAATAACAAGCGATCTAACTGAAATCCAAATAGTGATTCGGATAGCCGATGAAGAGCTCTATCAAATGCATCCTATACCAAAAAATTCATAGATGATTTAAGATAGTAAGGTTTCTAGAAAATCCAAAACCGTATTTTTCAGATCAAAGAAGACTTTGCAATAATTCATTTGCTAATAGTACCAACTTAAAGAATACAAAATTCTAAAGAAAATGAAGGGTCACCGCCTTTCCTTTCAAAATTTATAAGCATTACAAAAACTGAAATTTATCAAGAAACCGCTAAAAATCGTATTTTTTCGATTTTTGTAATGCTTATAAATTTTGAAAGGAAAAGCGGCGACCCTTCATTTTCTTCAAAATTTTGTGTTCTTTAAATTGGTACTGTTAGCAAACGAATTATTGCAAAGTTTTCTGAGACTTGAAAAATACGATTTTGGGTTCTATAGAAACCTTGCTACCTTAAATCATCTATGAAATTTTAGTATAGGATGCATTTGATAGAGCTCTTCATTGACTGGCTATCCGAATCACTATTTGGATTTCAGTTAGATGTTTGTCAGTGTTTTATCTAGACTTCGTTTTCCGAGTGGGCGAGTCGAAATTTCGGGGGCGCGGCGCCCATCCAGTAGACGAATGGCTGCTGTATATTTTCGAGTGAGAGAAACAAAATTTTGGGTGAGCGGCGCCCATTCGGCCCACCCAGTAGACGAATGGCTGCTGTATATTTTCGAGTGGGCGGCGCCTATTCGGCCCACCCAGTAGACCAATGGCTGCTGTACATTTTCGAGTGGGCGAATCAAAATCTCGGGTGGGCGGCGCCTATTTGGCCCATGGCTGCTGTATATTTTCGAGTGGGCGAATCAAAATTTTGGGTGGCCGGCGCCCACCCAGTAGATAAATCACTGATGTTTGTTATTATAGAAAAAATCAAAAATACATTTTCGTTTAAACTTTTATCTTTGACTGTATATTAATAAATTATTAAATCAAAAAAAAAGTATAAAGTTTGAATATAATAAACTTAAATTAATTTTCGAAAATATATTTTTTGTATAATTACAAATAAAAAAAAAAAGAAGACTTACATCTTTTGTTAATCTTCCTGTTTTTTTATTATCATATAATTTAAATATCCATTTAAGTCTATCTTCAATTGTTCCACGACATAATGTTGATAAACCAATAAGAAAATCTTCAAATGTAATTATACCTGATGAACGTAAATCAAATGTTGAAAATATTAAATGTGCATATTGTTTTGTATCTCCACATGGAAAAAAATGTCCAAAAATTTTTCTAAATGTTTCTTCATTAACAATACCTTTAAAGATTTTTGTTTTTTTTTTTTTGTTTATAAAACTATATATAGAATTTTTTTTTTTTTTCTGTTAACATACCAGATGGACATTCTTGTTTAAAACCTTGATAGATAAGTTGAATTTCTTTTTTATTAAAATTTGTTAATGTTATTAATTCATCAAGACTACAAGGTCTATAACATTTTAAAGTATCTGCTACATTAAAATCATATTCACTGCCTAAAATAAGAAAAATATGAATTTTCAACTAAATTAAAAAAGAAATAATAATATTTAAAATTCAACAAAAAAGAGATTTTTCTTTTTTTCTTGAAAGGGAAACTATCATGTTAATATTCTAAAAATTTATATTGATTAAATTTCTGAAAAAATTAATTATGACTAATATTTTCTATTTTTAGTAACAAGTGTTAAATTTTATATAAAACACATTTTTCTTAATTAAAAAATATTGTAAGATGATTATAAAATGATATTATTTTCACATTTTAGAAGGACAATAGTAGTTGATTATTAATGATGTTCATTTTCTTAAGTAGAAAAACAAAACCTAACTTCTAACAATCTATATGAAGATTATATAACTTATACATTTATTTTTCTATGATTATAATCTATAAAATGAAACAATTATTTAGAAAAAAAAAAAAACCTATTTTTAAATAATATTCTATTTCTAATAAAAAAAACATCGAATTGTTCTTATAAAATGATTTTAATTCAAAAATCTTATTCTTATTAGATTTATAAAATATTAATAATTAAAACTTACAGCAAATAGACGATGAGTATTCATCCATCGTCGATTATCCATATGAATATATAAACCTGTTATCTGAAATAATCATCTTCTTAATAAATACAAAAAATATCTTACAATTAATATTATATGTCAAAATAAAAGATAGAATGACATGATAAATGATCGAAAACATCAAGAAAAATGTTTTGTCATTTATGGAGAAAAAAAAATGACATTTTGAGTGTGTTTTTTTCCCTTCGAACGAAAAAAGATTTTCTATTCCTAATATAGAAATAGAAAAAACAGAATATAGTCAATCTTAACAATAAAACTAATGATGATAGACTCGATAGATGATGTTTTTCAAGTATCATTCTATTCTATCTTTTAGATGGATGAGAAAGACATGATGATGATGGTAAAAAGATTTCTTTCTATCTCTATCGTTAGCTTTCGAAAAAAAATAAAAGATTAATATATAACAAGAATAGAACTACTATGAGTAGAAACAAAGAATAAAACTATAAAACATATATTGATTATATTGATACTGAAATATATATTCTATTAAAATGTTATTGAGTAAAAATATTTTACAGATAGTTAACATTTCTTTTTTTTGAAATATTTTGATGATGATAAATCGAACTAATTAATAAACATGATATCTTATTATGATTAATGTTAACACCTTATTTATTTCAAGGATAATAATATAGAAGAATATTTTTTTTATCTATTGTATGTTGTATATTTTAAAAATATGCAAAAAAAAATAGTCAAGTTGACTTTCAAAATAGAAGAGTTTTGAGTATTTTTTTGAATAACTTTTGATAGGAACGAAATAGAGATAATTAATATTACTATTTCAAATAATTGACATCGATCTACAGATTTTCTTTATTAAAAAAGAAATTAATAAATTTGAAATATATGAAATAAAGTTTATATTACATATAATTAAATCTGAGATATATTAATAGACATTCTATTGAACATCTTTTAAAATTTACATTAATATAATATAATCATCACTATTCAGTCAGATAAGTGTTGCAAAAAAACACAGCGTAAAAAGCGTACATTTTACGGAATTTGATTTTTTTTAAAGAAACCTTGTAAATGTTCACGTTATGGAAATCATTTGATTCGAAAACAAAAAAAAACGCCGTTTATTTTTGTAACTCTTATCTGACTGAATAGTATAGATTTCTATTTTAGTGTAGTTTTTTCTTATTTCTTCTAGTTAAATCCATATTCCATAAATTTATATATATGTGTGTAATGTTTCAAATTTATCAAAATTTTAATTTCTTTCTATAATAATCTTGTTTCTTAAGATTTTCATTAGTAATTTTTTTATTTTTCTAATCTTATATTAATTAATTCTCATATAGAATAAACTAACTTACCGTGATCTCCTATTCGTGTATTTATTGCTATAGCAACACCCATATAGTTTATCTATGAGAATGTTTGTAAGTTCTTTATATTTGAAAATTTGAATAGAAAATAAAGTAATAAATATTGATAATCATATGTTGTGACATAACATATTAATATTCTAATAAAAGAATGTATGCTTATTCTAAGTCATATATATTCTTTTCTGATTTATTCTTTAAAACAAATGACTATTGATCTATCTATTATAATATGACATGAAAGAAGTAAAAAAAACCAAAACCAACAAAGGTTATTTAGTATTGAAAGAAAATCTTTTTTTAATGATAATAATACATCTAACAAATAACATCAATACACTAAAAAATGAATATAATTCTCATTAGAATAATTT